ACCGCAGCCTACACTGAGACCGCAGCTTACACTGAGACCGCAGCTTACACTGAGACCGCAGCTTACACTGAGACCGCAGCCTACCCCAAGACCGCAGCCTACCCCAAGACCGTAGTCTACCCTAAGACCGTAGCCTACCCCAAGACCGTAGCCTACCCCAAGACCGCAGCCTACCCCAAGACCGCAGCCTACCCCAAGACCGCACCCTGGTCATCCGTTGGTGGCTGCGACAGTATTATCGGTTGTTGTTTTAATTACCCTTTTCTATTCATTGACGACCGTAGACGTGTTTCGTGATGACGCATTCCGGCGCAGGTTCGGTGGTGAGTGGTCGGTCCCGTTCGCCGGAGGATTCGGGAGCCGCGGTTGCAGGTGCGCCGGCGCCGCCATCGGCGCAGGTGTTGTCGCCATCGGCAGCGCGTTCGGCTCCACACCCGAAGGGCGCGGGTTCGAAGGAAGAGGGGTGCACAAGGCGTGGATCGGTGTCTGCGGATGGTCGGTTGATAGGCAGTGTGGCGGCGGAGGGTCATGTGGAGGCCGCAGGTGATTTGCTTTCAGCTTTGGTGATAGCGCAGCAAGGTAATCTGTTGGACGTTTTGGAGGTGGGTCAGGCGGGGTCAGAGGTGCGTGCGGTGTTGAAGCCTGGAGTATTGCGTGCGATGCGTTTGGTGACAGTGCTGCAGTCGTGGGTGGCCGGATATTTGTTGGCTCAGATGAATGTGACTGTGTTCGTGTTATTGAATGAACAAGCGTGTGCAGCTGGACATTCTTGTCGTGGTTGGCACGTATGTTTGTTTGGCGCTTTCTTTCTTGGCATGTCAACTGGTGGTGCCCTCGCCGGACTTGTTCAGGCTGCCTCGACCCATCGTTTTACCGTATTGATTTCAACAGCACTAATGCTCCTAACGGCATTGTCTACAGTGGTGTCTACGGACCGAGTTGCGGTGACTTGGGAACGTTTCCTCTGCGGCCTTTGTACGGGTTGCGGTGTCCTGTGTCTTTCCGTCTACGTCTCGCGTTGCGCTACCTTTACTCGGAGTCGTGTATTTGGGGCGCTTTATCAAATCGCTCATATAACAGGTGTCCTTACCGCGTACCTCCTGGGCCTGGGCTACCTTGGACCGAACACATTAACTAGTCTTGGTGACCGTTCGGACACATCTCCATGGTCCGGGAGTACATGGTCCCGGAGTACGTTAGCATGTGTGTGGATTCGTGTCAGTGTCATGCCTGCAGTCGTCGGATTAATGGTTGCGTTACGATTGTTTTATAGCACCTTCCGTTTTGAGACACCACATGACTATGTTCGGCGGGCGGATTACGCTAACGCTAAGGCAATGCTGCGTTGTCTCTATGAAGTTGAGGAGGCAGAACACATGGACACGTTGCTCTGCGTCATCAAACTTCAAACCGATCAGCAATCAACCAGTCATACCGGATCATGCAGCCGCTACCTGCGGAATGCTCTCCATGCTTTCTTCCAACAAGCCTCAGGCTTCAACGCACTACTCGCCGCCAGCACAGCTCTCTTCTACCCACTCGTTCACACCCGCACTCATGGACTCAGACTCGCCATCCTTCTTACACTCGCTATGGGAGCTGGTGGCTGGTCCGTCACACTCATAACTGGCGTACTATTGGACAAATGGATGTCAAAAAAACCTATCATACTTATCGCCGTTGCCTTGCAAGTCGTCGTTGCTTCCATACTCTCCTGGCGTAACATACACACACGACACACACACGACATACACACGACATACACACGACACACACACGACACACACACGACACACACACGACATACACACGACACACACACGACACACTGGGTTTTGCAGTTCATTGGGGAAATAATCCGGACCACGTCATAGTTACCGGTTGTCTATGGGTACTATTTATTTGCCTACATTGCATGGGCTATGGCACGGTCACCAAGATCTTCGATCCAAGCTTCGTCAAGCCATTCCAACAGGACACCGTCAATCCCGTATGGCCTGGAGTGTCATCTTCATTACGCTGGTTCATCGCCTGCTGTTGGACCGTTCTCGCCTTCACAGTACCACATCTCGGCTGGTTCTTCATAGCTGTCGCTGTGTCAACCTTGACGACTTGGGTTGGTGTCCTTATCGATTTAGATCACCTATGAACCTGTTACAACCCGTTACTACCTACCTACAACCCGTTACAACCCGTTACAACCCGTTACCTACCTACCTACCTACCTA